AGATTTAAAATAATGCTTAAAGTTGACACATGTTTCTAAATATAGTCATTAAAAAGGAAATTATAAATCATTCATTTAAAATTTTAATGCAAAAGTAGAATATAGGAAAATAAATAATAATTATGATGGTATTTTAAGACTTAAAAATGATCCTGCGACTGACTAAATTTAAACTAATAATATTTTAAATAAAAATACTATTTTAAAAGGCACTAAATGGTATTTATTTAAAATTATAAATTAATGCAAATAAAATAAATAAATTAATAATATTTATCTAAAATTAAAATCTTATATATAAATATTAATATACTTTATATATATTTTATATAATAAATTAAAAGGATTTTTGGTTTAGTATTAGAATGTGGTTGTTAATGTTAAATAGAATAATGCAATTCTAATGTATTTTACGAAAAAAACACAATTTAGAACAATCTGATTTAATACTATTCTAAATACATAATAATAATAATTTTTATAATAACATTTTTAATATATTTTCTTTCTTTAAACTATAACAATTCTACTACTTTGATTTAAATAATCAAATAAAATATTCATATGGAGGATCAATTTTAAAAAACTGTGTAAAATAATTCAAATTTTAACTTGTCTTCAGATATTTAGAGTTATTTTGTATTATTAATAATTTTTTGTATGCCTTTAAATATATATTATACTATAGAGATTATTAGATAAATATATGCTTATTAAATAAAGAAAATTTGTGAATATAAAATTGAAATTAAAAATAAGGACTGTATAGACTAATTACCGTATGTAAATTGGTGCTTTTTTGATAAATCATAATGTTTGGTAAAAAATGAATATGAAATAATAGGATTTGCTATAAAATTTGAATATTTTGATTCGCAAAACAAAGATGTTTTAAATTAAATTTCGCAAACATAAAAGTCCATAGAGGCAATAGAAGAAAAAGGAAGTTATTCTATTTTTTAGAAAACAAATGAAGTTATAGAAAGTGGAGAAAATTCAGTTATTAAATCTTTTAAAAAAACTCATTTAAATGGTTTTAATAATAAAGATTCATAAAATAATGCTAGTTAATTTTATAAACAAAATATTATTAACAAATAAAAAAATTTAAAGAAAACTAAGAATATTATGATAAAGAATAAGAATAAAACATAGAGTAAAATTAAAATTTAATTATAGAAGAAAAAGAATAATACTAAATTATAAAAAATACTGATGTATTTAAAAAAAGTTAAAGTATTCTAATTTGTAATATAGAAAAACTATAGAACAGTCCAAATGATATAAAAGTTTCACATGATAATTAAACAATTGATACTAATATTCAATAGAGTCTTATTTTAAATAATAAATCAAATGCAAATTATAATTAATAAAAATTTTTGAGTGAAAATTTTTAAGAGTCAACAAATGAAGGTTTAAATCATGAAAGAATTACTAAATATTAAATTGAAGATATTCAGAATGAATAAATGTAAACACCTCGTTAAAAATACAAAAATTTATAAAAAAGTGAATAATTAACACCCAAAGATAAAGATAGTTAACAATTTCAAATCTAATTTGGTTTATTTGAAAGTTAAGATTTAAATGAAAATTAAAATAAAATAAAAATTTTTGATATAAAGAATTTAGATAATAATATTTAATATTTTAATGATTAAACAATTGACAAAAATACCTAAAAAATATAAAAAAGTGATAATTTAGAGAATTTAATGAGTGTTAGTTCATTTTAAGATTTTCAACATTATTAAATTTAAGAAGAAAAAATAGAATCCAAAAATTAATAAATTGCATTTGGATATTTTTCTTAAAAAAATTAAAATTTATAATAAATAAATTAAAAAATTGATTAAATTTAAAGTCCTAAGAAATATATTAATATTAATTTAATGCATTCCCCTCCTAAATTGAATATTAAGAATTTAAATCAATATAATATTAGCCCTTAAAATTAAAATAAAGCAAGTATAAATAAAACTTCGCTTTTTTTATAAAATGAAAGTAGTGATTTTTTCTATTAGACGAAATAGAATATAGACACTTCAATTTTAGTAAAATATTTATATATAATTTTTATAAATTTCTTTTAAAAAAAAGTTCAAATAAACTAAATAATTTAGGAATGTTTTAGAAGATAATTTAAGTTATTAAGATTTTAATATATAACAAAATAATAAAATAATCAAAATGTAGGAATGTCCATCCTTTATTTAAAAACATGAAATTGCTAATTATGATTTTTTTATGCAGGCTGTGACTCTTTGTTAATAAATGAAATTAAAAATAATTGAAAATTCCGATAATTTTCAGCTACATTTTAAAAATGAAGAGGATATTGCAATAAATAAGTTCTTTAATAATTTAAACATTAATTTATCGATTGTAAAAGAAAATATAGTTATGAAAAAATCTAAAAAAAATTAAAATATATAGTTCAAAGTTACAAATTTAATACGAAAAGTAAAAATTTAAATAATTAATACATAAGAATACGGCTCCAATATATACATTCTTACTCGAAATATATACTTAAATAGTTTTTTTGTATTATATGTAAAAGGAGGTATTGAATTATTAGATGATATATAAATTAATACTTAAGAAAAAATGGTTTTATCAACATATATTTTTGAGAAATAAGAAAAAGGTTAAAAAGTTCTTATATATGCGTTTCGTATTGTAGATGAAATTAAGTCTGATTTGTATTAAATAAGTAAAAAAAGTTTAGAATACTTAGGAATGCTATTTTATAAAAGCGTAGAAATTGAAAATGCAAGTTAGACAGTACTTGGATTGTAAAACAATTTGAACCTTTAAACTGGACTTTTAAGTGGGGATGTATACTAAAATGTAATTTAGTGCGCAAAATAATGTGGATTTTTGTAAGGAATTGCCTATTAAATGAAAATAAACGGAGAAGATGAAGAATAAATAGAATAAAGTGTAAAATCTTTAATTGTTGGAATTAAAAAAGATTTATTAAAAATTTAGGAAGAAAATTCTCATGATTAAAATAATATAGGATTAATGTAAAAAAATAAATAAAAAGAAAGAGCAGTTATTATTAGAGGATAATAATTAAAAATTATTTAAGAAAATATTAATTTGGAAAATCTTTTAATATTTCTTATTGCTAATTCTTATAGAATTATTGCTTCTGAATTAAGTCCTTTATAAAAAGGTTCATTTTTATATATTTTTTTTTAATATTTCATTTTAAATAATTAAAAAGGATATTTTGTTTAAATCTTGAAAATTATTAATAGTAAAAATATTGTTTTAACTGTTGGAGATGGATTTAATGATAATTTTATGATGCAATTAAGTGACGTTTCAGTTGAAATTGTTAATAAAACGCTTTAAAGCAATAATCATGGCGATATATTATTAAAAAATTCCGATTTTAATGTTCTATAATAACTTTTGATTTATTAAAATTTCAAAATTACTAGATAAACTATTTTTATTCTTTGTTTATTGTTTAATTAAGCTTTTTTATTTCTCTTTTCTTATCTTTTTTATGGATCTTATATTTTTAAGATATTCGATATCGTAAAATTAATTTGTTTTTATAATTTTTTTTAATATTTTTAGATTTATTTACAAATTTTATATTTTCCGATTAAATTAATATTTTTTGTGATTAAAAATTTAAATAATAAAGGCTTTAATAATAAATAAATAGAAGAGATTAACTATAATTTTAATTGTAATTTTTTAAAGAGAACATTTAGATTAAATTTTTTCTTTTTTAATAGTATTTTACCAGCAATATTAGATTTTGCTTTGATAACTATTTGCTCATATTTTATATAAGAAAAACACAATTTGAATTAAATCAAATTTTTCTTTATTTTTGGAATTATGATTTGTCAATCATAGAAAATGATAAATTTTCAGAAAAATAATTTTTATAAAAATTAAATGGATAGATAATACTTTTTTTAAAAAAGTCAATTTTATTTACTTGTTCTAGATTTCGGATTTATTTTATTTATATAATTATTTTAAGGACAAAATATCTTTATGAATTTTGTCTTTAATAATTATCTATATTAAGTTTTTCCTTTATTTTATATTTCTTTGCATTATCTTCATCTCTTTTATCAAAAGTATTTTTTTTTCTAAAATAAAGAAATAGAGCTAAACAAACTATTTATTCAATTGAAAAAATAAATAGATTAAATAGACATTAGCGAATATGTTAATTAATGCTTAAGTATTAAAAAGGTTGATAATAAAAAGTTAATAAAAAAGATATTTAATTAATAGTAAATAGATTTTAATATAGAATAAAGTAAATATTAATATCTTTAATTTTTAAAATATTATTTTTTTAGTCTTAACATAAGATGAAAACATCACTTTAGAAGAAAATCCATAATATAATAAATTTAGTTTGAAGTTTTCATTAGAAAATTTATAAAAACAATATGAAAATGATTTTTTTGAATTCTATCTAAAAAGTGCAAAAATAGTTTTGATCGCTTTATTTTTATAAAATATTTTTACATTCAGAAATTTATTTGATAAGATTTAATAAAGAATAGATATATTTTTTTATTTCATATAGTTCATTTTTCTTGCTTTATAAACTAAATATATTAAAAACTATTTTTTTATAATAAATTTGATTTTTTGTATTTAGTTTTTAGTATTTTAATTATATTTTAGAATTTAGAGTTATCCTAATTATTATCTAAATATGATATTAAACACAATTTTTATTTCTTGCTTCCCTATTGATATTGTTTATTTATATTTATATTAATTCACTATTATATTAACAGAAGCAATATTGTAAAAAATATATTATTTATAATATTTTTTGAATTTTAATGAAATTCAAAAGGTATATGAATTATAATTTAAAAGAAAATTGTTTTAATTAAATTATATTTTATTTCTGTTTTTTTGCATTAGCTGTAAGTACTTTAATTATTCGTTATTCGTTTGAAGAACAATTAAAATGTTAATATTTTTATAAGAAAAAAATGAGAGAATACAAAACATAAAATTAAAATATATTAGGTTTACTACTTCCAGATTTTATTTAAAAAGAAGTAAATAATAATAAATATATTATTAATTTTTATTTTAAAAAAAAATAAAAAGGTAAGTCAGTGTGAAGGTTAATATTTAATAGAAAAATCAGCAGATAATGTTTATATATTATTTTGTGATATCTGTTAATTTGATAGTATTTTATCAAATTAATAAGAGAATATAATAATTCTTTTAGATGATTTATTCCGTTCTTTCGATACTTTATGTAAACAATATTCTATTCAAAAGATAGAAACAATTGGTAAAACATATATGGCTTGCGGTGGTTTAAAAATATAAGGAAACGATTAAAACTTTATGAATGAAAATCCATATTCGATATCTCGAAAAATGATTCTTTTAGCCTTTGACATGCATATGATTGCAAGTTAAATTCAATGGCAAAACGATAAAGGAAGCGATAAAGGGATACAACTCAAAATTGGAATACATGTTGGCCCAGTAATTGCAGGGGTTATTGGAATGCATAAACCCTAGTTTTCATTAATAGGGGATACAGTAAATACAGCTTCAAGGGTATGTGCTAATTGTTCTGAAGGTAAAACTAGTATTTCTGATTAAGTTTATGAAAATGTTAATAGCATTGCACTTCCTGAGTGGATGTTTGAGCCTTTTTTTTTCGAAGCCAAAGGAAAAGGATTACTTAAATGTTTTTATGTTAATATAAGGGAAGAGAATCCTGTACTTTTACACAGTAATTCTCAGCAATAATTTCAAATGAATGATGTGAGTATTAGTTAAAATAATAGAAGTATTAATTCTACACCTTAGAAAAATAGTTAACAGCAAATGAATGTGAGCCTAAATTTAATATAAATGAATTAATTTTAGGTATAAAATATAAATGGCCAATAAAATTAGAATAATAAATCAAATAGCAGTATTTATTTAAGATAAGGTTCTATGAATTTAAATAATTAGAATTGTAGAATTCCTTCAAATAATAATAATGAAGAAAATTTTCCGAAATTGGAAAATTGGTAGCAATAGAAAAGAAATACGAAAACATATGACTTTTTCAAAAACAATACTGAGGATTTGATTGATTTAGAAAAAACATAATAAAGCCATAATTTTTTGAATCTGGATAATTTAAATTAATAAAACAATATTATTTATACACTTAATGAAGAAAATGAAGAGTTTGATAATTTCTTTATCCTAAATAAGTACTTATTTACTTTTAAAAAAGGAGAGAAATAAATGTATTTGCAGTTTCAATAGAATTTACATAAGAAGTATGTCATCAAGTAACTTTTATTGACTATAATTATTCAGTTCGTGAACTTTTTGAATATTTTTTAATCTTTTATTAATATTGAGGAATTTAAATTTAATTTTTAGATAAAAATAGGGTAAATTTTAGCAAGCTTTTTGATAATTTTTGGTTTTCGAAATGAGTTCATACTAATTTTAGGAGTCAATATTAATTTTTTTATATAAATAATGGAAGAAAAAACCCTTAGTTTGAATACAATTATATTTTCGATTAATTTATATTATATTGTAATGAACTTTTATTTGAAATTCTATTAATAATTAATTGTATCTTTTATATGGGTTTTAGTCTTTTGTTTTTAAATTAATTTTGATTATTCTATTATTTATTTTGTTTTTATTTCTTACTTTTTTTAAGTATACTAGAGGTATTAAATAATGTAAAATGAATATAAAACTTATGAAATAGCATTAATAAGTTAAAATTAAAATAAAAAAAGCATGAACTTATTAGATTATTTGTTACCAAGCCATGTAAAAAAAAAAAAACATATATATTTATATTTTAAAAAAAGATACTATATAAATTCTTTTTACCAAATACTAAAAGATGTGATTTGACAAATAGTTATAATAAAATACCTATTTTAGTTGCAGATATTGCAGGCTTTACTGATTATTCTAACAAAGTTTCGCCTAGTTAAGTTGTAAAAATGCTTTCGAAACTTTTCATTAATTTTGATTAAGCTTGTAAAAAACATAAAGTTTTTAAGTGTAATATATATATATTTACTTAAATAATTTTATTTTTTTTTATTAAGTATATACTATTGGTGATTGCTATATTGTATTAGGGTTAGATGATAAGTCTAATAAAAGAAATGAATCTGAAGAAGCTTATAATACATTAGAAATGGCTTTTGATATGTTTAAAATAATTTAAGAAGTTAAACAAGAAATTGGTTTTGATGGACTTAATATGAGAATAGGAATACATATTGTACATAATATTTAATATTATATATTTATTTTTTAAAAAAGGGTGATATTATTGGAGGAGTTATTGGAACTGATATTGTAAGATATGATATATATGGAAAAGATGTTGTAATTGCAAATAAAATGGAAAGTAATAGTGAACCAGGGAAAATTAGAATTAGTGAAAGTTATAAAAATATATTATAAAAATTTTATAATTAAGAATACTATTTTGAAGATTAAAAATCAGTTAATTGTTGTTCTATTGATACGTTTGTGGAGTCATGGATTGTTTAAAGAAAAAAATGAAATTTATTATAAAAATATGTATTTAACAAATTAAAATAGTTATTAAAAAATATGTTCATATTTCATGCTTTGTATTTTAAATTTATTTTTTTTCTTTTTATTTTATTAGCTTTTGTAATTAAAATTAATTTTTTAAATATTTATTATCAATTCATTTTTTTTTAGCAAAAATAAAAAAATATAGATGACAAGTTTAGAATTAAGAATTTATGGTAGATATAAATTATTAAATCTTATCAAAATCGAGAATTTTTCCATTTTAAATCTTATATAAATAGAAACATGAAACCATAAAATTTTATTTTAGGTTAAGGAAAAAGAATTAATTAAATTTAAACAATTGATTTTGGATTATCAAAAAAATATAAAGATTCTAAATCTTCATAACATATACCATTTAAAGATGGAAAACCTCTTATAGGTAATTTTTAAATAATAATAAAGAATTAAAAAAAGACACAGCATGATGATTAATCGATAAAAGATGATATAAAATAATGACGAAAAATCTAATAATATAAAAAATTTAAAATGTAATAATACATATAAAATCTTCTTCCGAAATTTCAAATTTATTTTGTAATATTTATAAAAATTTTAGAAATAGACAGATTATTTCGGCAAGTATAGGTATTTAACACTTAATAATAATCATATCATATTTGATAAGAATTAACATTCAATCATATATATAATCAAAAATAATAATTTCAATAGAATTTTTTTTTCTTAAATAATATTAATCTAAGTAATACTCTAAAGAAAATTAAAATGATAAATCAAATAACGAAGATTTATGTTAAATAAAAATTAAGATACTAAATACTTTTAATTAAAAAAATGTAGAATAAGATAATTAATTAAAAGAATAATAGTCATAAAAATAATAAAAATAGTTAGTTTATTATGATTATGAGAATGTAATAAAAAAAAAAATAATAATAATTTTAATAAAAATAATTAGACTACTAATTAATTTATTACTATTTATAAATAATTAAATAAATCCATGATATCGGAATAAAACTTGAAAAATAAGAAAAAAAGAAGATTTAAGATTTTAAGGTTTTTTTTAAAAAAATTATTTATAGTAATATGAATTTCATTTAAAGATAAAAGCTTAAACATTTTTTTAGTTTTATAATTATTTAAAAAGAAATTACTTTTTTAAAAAGTATATTTTATATTTAATTTTATATAAATACCAATTTATTTTATATTTAATATATATATTTTCAGCATTTTTAAAAATTATAGAAGAATTTTAATATATTTTTTTATATTAATATACAAAATAAATAATCAAATTAATTATAAGCTTTTAACAATTATGTCTGAAAAAATAATTATATATTTTATACATTTATATTTATTATTTCATGGCACAACCTCTTTTTTAAAATGAATTAACACCGCAAGTATTTCTTTAATAGTTAATGCATTACAACCTATTTCCTTTAAGCATTGATCCATACAATTACAAAATTCATTAAATTATTCGTTAGTTATTTTCATTGGACAATGTACATCTTTTAACTTTTTTCCTTTATATCTAAAAACGTGAATTAAAAAAATATATACATTTAAAATAGTTTTACATATTTTATCCTCCAAATGTGGTTGTAAAGAAAGTTAAAAGTAAACTCTTGTGTTTTACAGGGTCAACATTTTTAAATATAAACCCAATGACTTAATTATTAATGAGTTTATCAAAAAATTTATCCACAATTACTTTATTTAAAAAAAATTAATACTTTTTTAATATATATTTTACAAGTCAAAGTTTTCTCTCCTCCAAGTCTTTCAAATAAAGGAGGACGTATGGAGACAATTTCTTTTCTTAAAGTTTCAACTAGTTTTGCAATTTCTTAAACTGTAATATTATCTACTCCGATTTCAGTTAAAGTTTTACATATATGATCTTTAATAACATTAAAATGCATATCATTTAGCTTTAAATGTTAATGCGCTTCTTTCATATTTCTTCCTTTATAACTAATAATAAGAAATATTTATTTTCGTTTGAATATTACATTTTTAAAATATTTACTTATTTGGACCTCCTAAAACCATAGTTAGGAAATTATTTTAATTATCAATTTATTTATACATATCTATAGATTTAAAAAATTCTTTGACCCTTGGATCTTATAGGATTTTTTAATAGAAAATTTGAACAAATTTTTTAATTGATTCTTCTCCTCCAATTCTTTGATAAATAGATATTTTTACAGAAACAAATTCATTTCTTAAATTTTCTGTCAACTAATTTACTTCATTTATGCTAATTGGATCTTTTTAAACATCTTTCATTCCTTATAATATGTTATCTTTTATCAAATTATAATGCATATCATTAAAATTGTATTATTAGCAATATTCTTTCATGCTTTTGCCATTAATTCTAAATTAAAATAATATTTTCATTTTAAATTTTTTAAATAAAATTATATTACTATACTTATTATCCTTTAATTGCATATTATACTATTTATCCAATAATAGTTTTTAAAATTTAAAGGTCTATATTTAAAAATGTTTTTCTAATTCTAGGATCTTGTAAAACTCTATCAGAAGATCTTCCAACTATTTATTGAATACCCTTATCTCCTTCTATTCTTTCAATTAATGGAAGTTTTACATTAACTAAATTAATTCGTTATTATTCAAATAGTCCAATTATTTCTTAAAATGTTTAAGGGTCTACTTACATTTCTTTTAATGTTTATAAAAAGTTATCTTTAAAAGCATTAAAATGTAAATCATTTATTTTCATATTTGAATGAGCTTCTTTTAAATTTTTACCTGTGAACCTTTTATTTATATATTTTTAATTTTATTAATTTTTTACTTTTTAGGACCTCCAGTGACCATTAATATAAATAATTTAAAAGATTCTTTGTGTTTATTAATGTCTATCTATTAAAAAATTTTTAAGTTTTTCATCAGCTAATATTTTACTAAAAAATCTATCACTTATAATTCCAATTTAATTTTCTCCTCCTAATTTTTCAAATATTGGAAGTCTAACAGTAACAATATGCATTCTAAAACTTTCAAACATTCCTACAAATTCATTAAATACTGATGGATCTACTTTCATTTATTTTAGAGTTTCTTTCAAATGTATGACAAAAATATTAAATTAAATATCATTTATTTTTAAATTTTAATGAGCTTCTTTTGGACTTTTACTTTAATAACTTTTTTTAATTAATTTATTTTATTAAAAATATATACTTTTTTTCTCCACCAGATATTTAAATGAGAAAAGTTTTAAATTTATCTTTATGTTATTGAATATCTAAATTTTGGAAAAGTACATTGATTCTTTTGTCATTAACAATCCTTTCAAATAAAATATTTACAAGTTATTCTATTCCTTATGCTTTCCCTATTCTATCAATAAGTGTACGCTTTACTTATTATTAATTTGATGCTTACTATTATAATGATAAACTATTAGAAGAACTATTTCTATTGTTTCCCGTAAAAGGACACTATCCGCTTTGTTAAATATTGTTTAGATTTTAAGATTAATCTTGGATATTTTATTAATTTTATTTATTTACACAAATATCTTTTCTTAAAGGTTCTAAAGCATTTCCTATAATTTTAATTAGATTTTCATCTACTTTTAGTTCATTTAAAGTATTTACTAAATTTTCCACAATAGCATTAAAATGAATTTCTTCTATATTCAATCCTGCATGGGCATCTTTCATATTTTTTCCATTATAACTACAGTACATATATATATATATATATATATATATTAATAAAAGTAAAATAATATAAAATTACTTTTTAGGCCCGTCAAGGACCATAGAGAGAAAAGCTTTTTATTATTTTTTTTATTTTGTCATATCTGTTGATTTAAAAAAATATGAAACTCTTGAATCATCAAGAATTTTTTTATAAAACAATTCCACAGCAGCATCTAAAGCAGGTTCTCCTCCTATTTAATTATATAATGAATCAGCTGATTAAACTATTTCTTTTCTAAAAGGTTCGATTAATTTCTGGATTTCATTTATTATATTTTGGTCTATATTTAGCTCTTTTATTGATTAAATGAATAAAGTGCAAAAAACATCAAACTCATCATTTTTTATATTTAAATGCTTATGTATTTATTTTATATCTTTTCCTTCATATCTATTTATTATTATTTTAAATTATTATTTTCTTTATAAAAATATTTTACTTTTTATCATTTCCTAATAAAAAAGAAAAAAATTAAGTAAGCCATTATTATTATTTTCTCATATCAACATTAGCAAAATATTTAGAAATTTTCGGGTCATTTAAAAGTTTTTTAATTAAGTTTTAACTCACTTTATCAATAACTTTTTCTCCTCCTATTTTTTCATATAAGGATTTTTATTTAACTGTCTTTTCTTTTTTTTGTTAAAAATGTTATTTTTCCTATTAAAAAAATATTATTTTTACCTGATTTGGTATATAAATTTCCCGGCTTTTGATTTTCTTAAATTCCTTTAACCATTCTTGATATTTCTTCCGGTTTAAGGTTTCCCCCAAAATCATTAATCGCCAAATGCCTTACAATTTAATTATCACCAATTATAAATGTACTTCTTAGGCAAGCACCCTAATCAACGCCTGTGTTAACCACAACTCCGTAATCGGTAGCAATTTTCCTATCTACATCAGAAATTAAAGGAAAAGAAATATTTCCTAAACCACCTTCTTGCCTTGATTTTTAACAATAATTCATATGTACAAAATGAGAATCTATTGAACATCCTAAAAGTTAGCAATTAATTTCTTTAAATTTTCCGGCGTTTTCTGAAAAGTTTATAATTTCTTCTTAGTATTATTTATTGAAATCATACGGGTAAAAAAACAATACTATATACTTTCCTTTATAATCTTCTAAACTAATTTTCTTTACGCCATCAAAATACGCATTTGTCTCGAATTTCGGAGCAGGCTTTCTTATAAATTTTTTGGGCATTTCGATTATTTTCCTTATTGTACTATTTTAGTTTTACTCATTTTCGTTATCCTATTATATCTGCTAGTAGGATTATCGATATGATTGATAATTATGGGCTTGACTTTATTATGAAATATTATTTTTTTATTATTCTTGTATGTTGGATTAGGATTATTCTTATGATTATATTTTCTTTTTGGCTTTTATTTTTATATATTATATTATATTATTAGAATTGTTTTAATTTACTATTTTCAGTTGTTGGTATGGAATTTATAGAATATTAATTTTCGTTGATTTTTTTGACTTCTTAACAATTTCCCATTATACAAGTATATTTTTTATATGTTTATAAATTATAAATATAGATTTTTATATTATAATTTATATTTTTTAAAAGTATTTGTTTTTAATTAAAAATTTTTAAATATTGTTAATTTTAAAAATATATAATTATTTATTGAAATCTAAGTTTTTTATATTTTAAAATTTTTTTTTATATATTTTAAAATTTTTATTTAAATATAAACATCATTAATTTAAGTAACTTCTTTTATAAAAAAATATATTACTATTTAAAGATTTATACGAAAATATAAAACAAAAAACAATAAATATTAAATAATCAAATAAAATAAAAATAAAAAAAATGGACTAAAGTTGTTGTAAAATAAAATAAAATTATATATTATATTTATATATAATAATACAAAAAAATATATATGTAGAAGAATCTTAATATAAAGCCGAATCTTCTTATTAAAATGAAAGCTAAATATTCCCAATTTTTTCTTCAAAACAATTTAACTCAGTAGAAGATTAAGTAAACTTTTTTTTTATTTAATAAAAATAATTAATAAATTATTCTATAAGGTAATTGAAACATTTGAATCATGCCAAATACCAGAAAAATTTGAATCTTTTAGTATAACTATGAATATTATTTTTAGATAAACAGCTGACAAACCAAGTAAAAATTTAAATTTTATATATTTTATATTTTTTATTAAAAGTAAAAAAAGAGGAAAACATGAATATTTTTTAAACTGGAACAACCCATAAAAAGAATTTAACAATAGCTATGACACCCAAAAATGAAATTAAAGTTACTTTTAGGTAATACATATTAATTTTTTATTATTAAAAAAAAAATATATAACAATTAGATAACAAAAAGATTAAGAATTTATATATTCTTAAACAAAAATAAAATCCGGAGTACCTTATGATTTAAGCATCGTTTACGAAGTAGTAACAGATGAAGATGATTAAATCTTTTACAATTTTAATTTATATTTAAATGGCAAAAACGAAACAAATGTAAAACTATTTTATATTTTATATAACATAAAAAAATTAATTAAAAAAGCTTTCTTTAAATTATCCAATAATAAAACCTTCTCATAACATATATTTTGGTTCAGAATCTGTTTTAGGCACTTTTACTGGGCAAATATCTGATGTATACTTTATAACAAGAGCATTAAATCATCAAGAAAATATAAATTTACATGCAGAAAAAAAGAATAATCCAATGGATCCTAAAAACCCTTAAGCAATAATAGAAGAAACCCAATATCCTCACTAAGACTTAGGTTAAACTCGCAGAAGTATACCCCCTTCTTTATAAAAAACACATGTGACTGTAATGTAGAATGCTATTTAAGGACAGAGTCAAATGACTGTACTTGATAATAAATCTATTAGATCTATGAATAAATAAGAATTCGAATAAGCAGAACTTGAAGCCGTATTTTCGAGGAATATTAGACTTTCATAATAATGTAGAGAACTTTCTTTGAATTTTAGATGGCTTATTACTACTTTATAATAACTTTCTCCTCCTATTGAAGAATTAAACAAACCAGTTTTACCTTTTAATTGTATTCATAATTTTATTGCTTCAGGTAAAATTGAAATTCATAATGTTAGCTTACCTTTATATGTAATTTTTTTTTTCTTTATTTTTTTTAAATTTTTTTGTTTATAGATAATTGAAGTTGATAGATTTTTAAAACCTTTGAAATATGCAGATATTAAGATTAATGAAGATGATATAATTTAATTAGCTAAAATAACTTAGTCTTATTATGAATTTTCATGGAAAGACGGCGGATTTGAAGATTTTAAGGATAATTTCAAAAAGGAATATGGATGTATTCATACTGATTGCAAAGAACCTATTGATAGATTTGATTTTAAGGCTATCGTATACGATAAATTTTTAATTGCTATAAGAGATACTATTTTGACCCCCTAAGAAATAGCTTATATAAAGAAAGAATATATTAAAGAAATGCAAGATGGGGAAATAAAACAAATAATAGAAAAAGATGAAGATCCTAACAAAAAATCACAATAATAATAAGTAGAAGAATAATTAGAACTTAATAAAAAAATCGAATAATAATAAAAATTACATTAATAAAAACAAAAAACTTTAAGTTAATTGCCTTTAGTTTAAAATGCTTCAGGTACTACATTCAATTATAATAGTTATAGTGTATTTTTGGGAATTTTAGAATAAAATGAAATTAATTTGTAGGAAGCTTGGAATTATGTTTTTAAAGGAATTTTTCTTTAAAGGGATTATATGGGATAAAGTAATACTGAAGAAATTTTAGAATATCATTAATATTTTTATTAAGTAAAAAAATGAAATTAATAAAAAAAAAAAAAAAAATTAAAATAGTCCATTGCAAATAAAGGAAATATATTCAACTCATTAGAATAAATATTTAAAAATATATGCAAAAACGAATAATTAGAATTAGATTTTGAAAACTTTTTCAGTTATTGGAGAAATCAAATAAACCCTTCACATAAAAAAGATAAAATTTAGCAAGTTTTTAAAGACATGATTTTCACAAAAGAAGACACTATTACCTAAAAAGATTTTCATTATTACTTTTAAGGATATATTCCTGTCTTTGTATACTAAAAAAAAGGTACTGATTAGACAATAATATTTAGTTTATTAGATAATTAACACAGTAAACCAATTATAACTTCTTAACTAGTTGAATAAGATGCTAAATAATTAAAGAGCATTTCTTATACATACAAAGTTTTGAATGAATAAAAATATATCAATTTATTCTCTATTAAATAAGGTTATTTAAATAATTTTAACTAAGAATCAGAAATGAAGCTTTTTGATGAATATAATCCTGAGTTAAATGCACAGTATAATATTCTTGATTTAAATAAAAATTAAAGTGAATGTGCTGGTTTGGAAATTTAAATAAAAATGTATTAAAAGGAAACCAAATTCAATCTTCTTTTGGATTATAATATTTTTTCAATTAGACCTTTGCACTAGGAAGATGCGCAAAAAATTCACCAAAATTTTAAGCAAGTAAATGAATAAATTGAAGAAACTTTAAAATAATAATAATAATAAAAGATAATGCAGCTTAATAATAAGTAATAAAAAGAAATAAATAAATAAAATATATATTTAAATACAGGGAGAAGATTAACTTTAATAAGATGAAGCTTAGGAAAAAGAACAATTACCAGTGCCTGAACCAGGTTGGAATAACGGTAAATTCATCCTAAATTTAAATAGATGTACTAAATGTGAAAGTCATACAACCACTACATGGCATGACGAGTATGATTTTGCGGAAAAATTTAATTAGTTTGGGGAGTAATTTAAAGGCTTATTCCCTAATTGTGAGATTATAGGAAATTATGACAGACCTTCAATGCATTATGAAAATTTCGATATTTATATAAGAGGAGTTGGACCTGCTCAAGATAGGGATGCAGAAGGAAGAATATGGCTATATTCAAAAAGTGAGGGTATCTTCTCTTTTATATATGCTTTTAATACACGTATGATTAAAGTTTATGATAAGTTAGTACTAATTGCAGCTGCGTATGGTGATACTATTGAAATGGAAAAAACTTAAGAATATTATATTACTAGATTTGAAAGCATGATTTCTCCTAGATGGAAAAATTCTCATGGATATCCATGTGACGTTCCAAGAAGAAGAATAGAAATACAAAGAGAAATTGAAAAAGTTAATTTAAAAAAAAAACTAAATTTATAAATATTACATATATAGGAAGCTGAAATAAAAGAAGGAACAAAAATGATTTGTAAAAATTGGGGTTGTGGATTAGAATATGAATATACTTCAGACATTTTAGCTATGAAACATGCTTGCATTTTTCATCCTGGATCTTACTAATTGGGTTCCATTCATGGTTTATGGCCTGAAAGTTGGACTTGTTGTAGAAAAAATTGGGAAGAAAAAGGTTTTTTATTTTACTTTTATTTTTTTTATTTTTAAAAAGGTTGTATTAGAGGCCCTCACAAAGGAGTTACAGAAAAAAAACTTATGTTTTTATGTTTAAATGTAGGTGAAATTAACTCTATGACTAAAAGACCGGATTCAGCTTGTGGGATGTACTTCAATGACGAAGTACCTAGTGAATGTTTAATTCATCCTGGTTTTTTCAAAAGAAGTAAACTAACCTCTGACGAAGGCGAATGGACTTGTTGTTAAGATGGAAATCCTTCAGCTAAAGGATGCAATGCTTCGAATCCTCATAAAAAAGCTTAATGGCCAGATGTAGAAGCTAAAAAATATTTTGTCGAGAAATTAATATCTGTAATAATAAATTGTATTTTTTTTTTCATTCACTGAAATTATTACTTTATTACTTTATTTTTTAAAATTTTTAAAAACTTTTATTTAAATATCAATAGAATCCTGGAATTGATAATAGAAATTTAATAGATAAATATGATAAATCAGCCTTAAGAGCCTGTATTTACAGAGAAACTATCCCATATACTCCATTCGTGAATTAAGAAAAAAAGAAAATGCAGGATAGAAGATTAAATGAAAATGAAATTAGAATATGTACTCGACATGGATGTTTTAAAATTATAAAAGGGGAAAAATAATATTTAAATGAATTTGCAGATATTGATAATATAAAATTATAGGAAAAAAGAAAAAGAATTGCAGATTTCATCCAGGATTATTTCTGATTTCGGAAGTACAGGAGCTGCTAAAGTATCCTAAGCTTCAACAGATACTCTTTGGAAACCTCATTGGTAGTGTTGTAGATAACCTTGGGAAAGTGAAGGATGTACTAAAGGATATCATGATGGTAATTATTTATTATTTATATTATTTTTAAATATAAAACATAGGACCTTTAAGAAGTGATTATGTAGATAATTTAAAGGAAAAATCAAAAGAAGTTATAAATTATTGGAAATCAATAGAAGAAAATTAAAAGTAATTAAAAAATAATGAAGAAAAAATAAACGATAAATGTGGAAAAAATGAACAAGAGAAAAATGATTTATTAGCGAAATTAAAATAAAGATATGATCAAGATTTGCATAATAAATCTATTGAAATATAATAATTTTATTAAAATTTACTTGAATCTTCGAAAAAAAACCCAAGAATTATTATTGATTTTTATTCTAAAGAATTCTGGCCAAACCCAAGAGCTATGAAAAATTTTAAAAAAACAGTTTCTACTTTATGGAAAGGAAAATTAGAAGGAAACAAAGCAAATGAAAAAGATGTAAAAGGAGTTATATTAGACGATAATTAGATTATTAATATTTGGAATAATTTATATAAAACAGATGTAATATATATATATTATATATATATATATATATATATATATATATATGAATATGAATATGAATATAAATATTATAAAAATATGAATATAAATATGAATATAAATATGAATATTAATATGAAAATCAATATAAATATGAATATGAATATGAATATGAATATGAATATGAATATGAATATGAATATGAATATGAATATGAATATGAATGTGAAAATTAATTTGAATATGAATATGAATATGAATATGAATATGAATATGAATATGAATATGAATATGAATATGAATATAAATATGAATATGAATATGAATATGAATATGAATATAAATATGAATATGAATATGAATATATATATATATATATATATATATATATATATATATATATATATATATATATATTTTTATTTTTTTTTCCATTTATTTTTTTATAATAAAGTGTGTTTCTCTTGGAAGAATTTCATAAATTTGTGATAAATTAAAACTTCATCTTTTAACTGTAAGTGATAGACTTGATTATCATTTCAAATTTTGGGATGTCGTAAATATGGATCTTAGATGGTTTACATAAAGTGATGAATTTACAAGAGAATAGTAATTTTTTTTGTTAATTTTTTTTTATCTATATTTTTTATTAGATTTCTTGAATGGTGGGATATGAATATTGATGAATATTTAGAAAGAAAAGAAGCTTATAAAGAAGAAGAGATAAGAAAATAAAAAATGAGAAATTGAAAAAAAACTATAGCTATATATATGCGAATTTAATAAAAATATTTTATAAAAGTATAAATATTTATCCATATTTTTTTTAACTGTTTATTGGATAAAATAAATGTAAAATTTACAAATTTTTCGTATTTTACACCACAATAAACTAAAAATTCGCTAATTAAAATAATTATATATATTTTTAAAAGTTATTGAAAATAATAGTAAAAATTAAAATTATAATTTTTTAATAATTACATTCCTTCAATAGTTATTCCAATCATTATCTTTCAATAGTATTGTTCCCATGATATCTTCTAATTACCTTTTTAGTAAATTATCCTAAAAAATGATTATCAATAATAAAACTAATAGCTTTTCTGCATCAATTAACTTTAGACTTTATTAATCCCAATAATTCATAAAAATAGAATTTAAAATTTAAATTTAAAAATATAAAATATTTATAAGTAAATTTTAATTTTCAAGCCAGATAAATCCTAATCTAAATCTATAATTGATTATTTTATTAATTGGTTAAACCTAATGATACCTCTATTTTAAATATATTATATAGCCTAATATTTTTATATAAATTTAGATTTTCTTAAAAATAAAAAAGTTAAAATTTACTAATTATTTTTTAAATATTATAACATGTTCTATCATATTTATGCAAAATTACTTATTTAAATTATTAATTTTTATATTATTTTTTTGAATTAAATTTATTTTAATTTATGATAATATATATATCTACTTAGCTTTTAATTCTTGAATGTTAAATTTTTTTTATTATTATTATTTTAATATCTTTGTAATCATTTAATTCTTATTATTATTTTTAATTTTAAATAAATTATTCATTAATAATAATGAAAAATTAATATTTTTTCTTTATTGCTTATAATTATTAGTAATATTGATATTTTTATATATTTTATAAACCTAAAATTTATTTTATTACAATTTTATTATATGTTAATTTATTTATAAACATTAAATATTTAACTATTATTATTATTATTATTATCATTATTTTTAATTTTTTTTAATTAATATTTTTAACAACTTTGTAATTATTATTTTTTATTTTATATGATTTACTTTTCTTTCTTTACTTAATCTAATAAGAATTTAATTTTGAACATTTTTTTATATATTGTATATTATAAATTTATTTTTAAAAAATATATAGTTTACTATTATTTTTTAATTTTTAAAAATATTGTTTTTGTTTTTTACTTGATTTTATAAGTATTTTCTGAATATATTCAAAATTTTTTATTTATTATTCTTTTTCTTATTAATATATAAATAAAAAATTATAATAATTATTACTTTTTATATTTAGCATTTATCTTTTTTTATTTTTAAAATTTTTAAATATAGCATATTTATTATTATTAATATACTTTTTTAATATATTTATAGATACAAAAAAATAAATATAAAAATACATTCTAGTTTTTTTTTTTAAAGGAGATTTAATATTATTTTTATTGTTAAAAATAAAAATATATAATAAATAATATAACTATATAATAATTAATAATTATTTTAATTAGAATAAAAAAATAAAATAAAATAAAAATGAGTAAATCAATTAACGAAATGATAGAATTTATGATACAAAATAAATAGGAAGCAAAAAAAGAATTTGATAATATCTAATATGTATAAAATAAAAAAGCATAAAGAATGAAACCTGAATAAATATAAGATATACTTCCAATAGTAAAGACAAAAGAAGAAGTTTATTAAGAAATGAGATTAAGATATAAAAATTCTTGGAAAAGTATAACCATTATCAATTTTTTTTATGCTTAATACTTTAAAAAGGTCCTGGATATAAAAACGATGAATTTAGTAAACCAACATGTTTAAGGGGAAATGTTTTGAGCGAATGGTAATACGAAAGATGTTTTTTAGCAGAAAGATCATACAAACATCCAAAATAATTTAAAGGATTTAAAGGATCTATTTTTAGTAGAGAATTTCCAGAACCTAGTGATAAAGGATTATCTTAATAAATTTAGAAATATTTGTAAATATAACAATAAAACACCAAGACTATAGATATAGGCCTTCTAAATATGGAAAACAAAACTAGATTTGAAGCTTGAATAAATAGAAAATAGAAATAAAGAACCTTTTAAATATGTAAACACTGCTTAAAGTAAAGATTTTGGACATGACATGCATTCTACATGGGAAAAAGAAATTAAACATAAATAAAATACTAAATATATTAATTCACAAACAATTTAATGATTTTATTTATAAATATATAAAATTATTTTAAATTTTTTTTTCTTTTAAAAAATATATTAATAAAAAGAAAATTTTATACAAATAAAAAAATGGAAATAATATAAGCATAAAAACCAAGTGAATTTTTAGAAAATAAATATAAAAAAGTTGAGTAAGCAGAAAATTTAATGAAAAGTTTTATGAAAGATAAATATTTGCAATTTAAAGTTTTTTTTTTTTTATTTTTTAGACTATAAAATATAATTTATTTAGTTTTTGCTTGAAATTTAAAATAAAAATTATGATGAAGCCGAATTTATAGCCGCTTAAAGTATATAAATATTTTTAATTTTCGTTATTTTAATTAATAAAGTACTTTCTTAAAATTAAAATAATGAAACAATTTTATTATTTTGGGATATGTTAAGAAAATACAAGGATGAATGTATATTTTAAATATTATTTTTTTAATATTATTAATATCATATTTCCTTATTTTTTTATAAATTTATTAAAAAATAGTTTACTAAATGGATTAAGAAGAGTAATTAGAAGAAGAAGACGAAGACGAAGACGATGATGAATACGAAGATGAAGATGAAGAAGATGAAAAAGAAGAGGAAGGAGAAGAAGAAGAAAAAGAAGAAGAAGGAGAGTATTCAGATGAACCTGATGATGAATGGAGAACTGAAGATGAATATGATACTGATGAATTGGCTTTAAAAGAAGAGGATGAAGAAGAGGAAGAAGAAGAATATGATGATGAAAAATTTGATTAGTAAAATGAGGAAGATGAAGAATAAAAAAAAAGAAAAAAAATACAGCTCTAATTAGAAAAATAAAAAATAAATAAAAAAAATTAATCTGAACAAAAATAGCAATAAAAAAAAAATCAATCAGTTTTATCAGAAAAAGGAACTGCAAATTAATAAAAAACGATAAAAAGTAATGAAAGAAAAATAAGTTCTATTGTAAATAAAAATGTTAATATTAATAATATATAGCAAACATAAAAATAAGAAGATGAATAAAAAAATGTTAAAACAATAATATTAAACAATAATCTTTATAATAAATTTAAAGTTAGGAAAAGATAAAATTAAATGTTAAAAAAACTAATAGTATGGCTATAGCAAATAGTTTGAAAAAATGAAAACATTTTTTAAAATATATTTACTTATTATATAATTAATATTTTATTACAATTCTAAGATAAAATAATTTAAAGTATATTTTAATTTAATTTAAAATAAAATATAAATATAATATATATTGTTATATTTATTTAATATAAATAAAAAATTATTTAATAAATTTAATTTTATAAAACAAAGTTCATTATTCAAATTTATCGTAAGAAAAATAGAAAAAATAATAAACATTATTTAGAAAAATTAGAAATAAAAATGAAATATATAATAGTTTGTAATTAGTTTATTTAATTAGTAATAATATATATATATATATATATATATATATATATATATAATATATATATTATTAATAATTTTTTATTTTATTTATTAATTATTTTAATAACTGAATTTGTTACAAATTTTTTTTTATTTTATGTTAAAATTTACATAATATATTTAATATTTGTTAAATATGATATAACTTTATTATATTAAAAATAATTTTTAAATATATATTTATATTTCTATTTTATTTTTTATTTTTTTATTTTATTTTATTTCTCTTTTTTTTTAGATTACTCATTTTTATTTTAATTTAATATTTTTAACACTATCTTATAAAAATAATAATTTCAAATATTATTTATTTATTAAATAATTATTAATTTTCGATTTAATATATATTTTTATTTTTATTTTTAAACATAAATTATTTTATCTTATGTAATAAACAAAAATTGACATCATTTAATTTTTTTTAATTATTTAAATGAATATTTGATATTTTTCTATTATTATAAATATTGATAAGTATTTAATATTAAATTCAATAATTTTAATTTAATTAAAAAATAATTTTACGATATATATATTAATAAATAAATTTTAAGTTAATTTAAATAATTAAGAATTATATTTATGATTAAGTATTATTTTACACAATAATACTTATTATAATTCTGTAGTAAAATATTATTTTTAAAAAGAAAAATAATTATAATATTTAAATAACATAATTTTAGAAAAAAATTTTATTAAAGTGATTAATAATAATAATTTTAAAAAGCATAAATTATTAAATTTGAATAAAAGTTATTTTAATAAAAAAATATTTATTAATTAATAATAAAATAAAAAAATCAAAGAAAAATTCCTAAAATTTACTAAGGAAAAAATTTTATAAAAATTATGAAACTATACAGATGCTACGTAATCTCCAGTTAAATATACAAATTATCAAAATAGGAATAATTATTAAATAAAAATATGAATTTATTCTAAATTTTAAGCTATATAAATATCTAAAAATTAAATAATGGGTTTAATATGATTTATTAAAAAAAATATTTCTAAAATAAATATTAACCACAAAAATTATAAATATTTTATAATAATATAAAAAAAATTAAAAATGAAAAATACTTATAATCCATAATGTATTAACATTCCATATACAATAGGAATCATAAAGCCTAATATATGTTTGATATAAGAAAATGTAAGTAAAACATAAATAATATATAAACTTAAATTCATATAAATAAGATTGAAAGTATAATAGATAGTATTAAATCTAAAGGTTTCACTATATAAACTATTTTATAGAGAGAACTTTTCAAACAAGAAGTTGAAAATTTACTTTACATGCATATAGATAATTTTTATTTCGAAGATTTAGTAAATTATATGCTTTCTGGGTAGTGTACTGTATTCCTTTTGACACATAAAACTGAGGACCCAATAAATTTATGGAAAAAATTAATTGAATAGAATTATATATGCGATGGGTAATTTGATAAAAAAGATTTTTATGGAAGTGAAAATTAAAAAGAAGCTAATAAAGAAAGATAGATATTTTATATGGAAATTCCTTAGTAACCGCCTTAATATATTTTTGAGAAAAATAAGATATTTTTAAATACTATACTTAATTTTGTATTTCCTGTAAGTTTAAATAATTGTAATTCGAATGAAAGATTGGATATGCTGGCTATTTATGGCCCTGTTTTTAATTATCATAATGTAGATTAATGTTTATGTTTATTATGTAGCAGAATTGGTAAAGATTTTCTAAAAAAAACTAAAAAAAAATCTCGTATTTTAGATGAGAAAAATGTAGAAATTTTACAAAATTAATTTTGTGAAAAATGCAGGCACCATTGTAATAATTTCCCACATTTATTAAGCGGATCTTAGTAAAATTATATAATAAATGATTTTGAAATTAGTTTTATGGCCTAATAAGAGAAAAAGTAATATTTTATTTCCTTACTTTAAGCAAAAAAAGGAAATTTAGCAAATAATATTATAGAAAATACTGTACTTGAAGAACCAAAAATAATGAAATATTCTAAAAATTAAGTCATTGAGTTAATTTAATCACTTAAAACTGATTATTTTAATAGATATAAATTTTCTGAATTATAATAGTAAATTTATTATATATTTTTTAATATATTTAATATTCAAAAAAAATTAATTTAATTAAAATTTATATCCATTTTTTCTTATTTTTTTTTATAAAAAATTAAATAAAATATAAAAAACATAATTAGCAAAAATATTTATATAATATAGAATTATTTTGGAAGATAGAAGAACAAGAATGGAATATTTGTTTTCTTTTATATTTAAAGAACCTGTCTTAAGTCTAGTAAACTCTAATATTTAATTAAAATCAAACAATTCCTCAAATTTAGAAAACATAAAATTTACATTAAATAGAAAGTTACCTTTATCTATTATAAATAAATAATAGAAAAAAAATGTAAATTATTTTGTTATATCTATTTATTTTTAAAAAAATTAATTAAAGTTTAGTTTTGGATATAAATAAAAAATTGAAAAAAAATTGTCAGATATATAATTTGATATAATTTTTCAACAATATATTGATAAAAATTTAGCTAGCATTTGTTGTATTCAAGATATATCTAAAAACAATTGTTATAAATAAGCTATTCATATTATTAGGGAATTAAAAGAAGATAAATTTTGGGATAAATATTCAGGTTTAAAATTTAATTCTTAAGGAAAGTATATAAAATTATAGCCATTAGGCTATTATGCAAAATGATGTTTTATTCATTATCCATTATCTATTATATATTAAGTTATTTTATAAAATTATATTATTGTCAATAAAATTAAAATAAATAATTTGTCTTAAAACATAACATATATATTTTTTTAAAAAAATATTATTAATTAAAAACTTTATTTTCTAAGCAATAATTTTTAATCTTTAATATAATTTATTAAAATTTTAAAAAATTAAACTATAAATTACTCTTCAATTGATAAAAAAATGAGGTCAAGTAATTTTTTAATTAATTAAAAATTATTAAATAAATAATTTTATTTTTTAAATATAAATAAAAAAATATTTGTTTTTAATATAAATAAAAAATATTTGTTTTTAATATAAATAAAATATTTTTATACTTTCTTAATAGAATATTAAATTAAATAAAAGCAATAATAATGTTTAAATTATTCTTTATTTTTTTAGAAGTATAAATAGTCATAAGCGAACATCTTAAAATAAGAGAACTTATTATTATCAAATTAAAATTAAATAATTTGATAAAAAAAAAATGAAGATAATAGAAATATTAAAAATATGAAAAATTACTATTAATTGTATATAATTGTGTGCACATAATTAACAGAGAGTAAAAATATACTTTAAATATCAAAAAAAAAAAAGTGTTACTATAAGAAATATAAAACATGTGTTGAAGTTTTTACTTGTAATTCATTAATATTTTTATTTATTATTATTTTAATGTGTAAAAATGAAATTTTATATTAAAAATATTATATTTAAAAATAAATAAAATATTGATTTTTTTTACGTTTTTAATTTTATTTTTTTAATTAATAAAGATTTATTTGAATTTTTAGAAATTTTATTATTTCTTCATAAAATAAATAATAGTAATACTTGCATTTAATTTAATAAAAAATTAATCAATTTATGTGTTTATTATATTAAATATTTTTTATATATATAATTCAAATAATTATTTATTAAAAAGAAAAAAAAATTGATTTAATATTTTTTAAATTAGATATTAGTTTTTTATTTTGTTTATAATTTCTTTAAACTTTTTATTAAAAATAATTAAATTAATATATTATTAAATTTTGTATTTAATTTAATAAAGCAAAATAGTTTTTAATTTGAATTTATCATCATTTTTATTAATTAATTTAAATGTATAAAAATAAATATTTTTTTTTAAATAAATAAATATTTTAGATTTATTCAAATAGAGTTGTAATAAATAAATACTAAATTATTTAGATTAATTTTATATAATATTTTTTTTAATTTTTAAATTTATATTTTTTAATCAAGCCTATATATATAAATTTATTTTGAAAAAATAAATATATAAAAAATATTTATAAAAATAAATATATATATTCTTAGAGTGTGAATTTATAGATTAAAAATATATATGCAAAGAGTATATTTAGGTTATAATTATATTTGGATAAATAAATACAAAAATATATTAAGAATTGGTATTTATAGGTTATAAATATATTTGGATAGGGTAGTTATATGTTATAAATATATTTGGATTGGGTATTTGGGGTTGTGGGGTTGGGGTTGGGGTTGGGGTTGGGGTTGGGGTTGGGGTTGGGGTTGGGGTTGGGGTTGGGGTTGGGGTCTGAGACACGCAACAGGGG